AGATAAATAGTAAAAGAAATCACCATCTATGTCTGTTAGCCCCCAAGTTTATGTAGGAATGTTTTCTATTTCCAACCTCTGGCTCTGCCTGGAATGAAAAGGAGAATAATTTCTCAAACACATGAGATTTTCTTTGGGTTGGGTTGTAGCACGAGGCCCTGTCAGCGCCTTAAAAATTTTTTTTCTTCTACCGTACATCATACCCAGAATCAGTTGGGAACAGTTTAAGCATCCTTTCCCAAAATTTAATTCTATTTTATTGTCTGCCCCTGAAGCCCAGGCTCAGGACTCAGAGGAAAGGAACCCAGCAGCGAGCTCGGGGGTGCGGGTCTGACGCTGACACCCCGCCCCTCACGTCGTCTACACCCTACTGGGGTGCAGCGCTGCCCAGGGCCTCAGCAGAGGAAGGATACAGGCCTTTATCACTCTGCCAGTCTGCAGAAACTCTGCAGCTGTGTCCCTGAAATCATATGTTTCGAGGTGTCAATTTATCCTCAAGAGGATTATGTTCAAAGGAAAAAAAAGTTATACTTTCAAGTGGCGTTTTCCTCTGATTTTTTTTTTTTAAGTTTTCTACTTTCTTTCATAAAGCAGTTATACCTCCATGCAATTCATAAGCCTGGAAAGGGTGGGCCACTTCTCATTAATTTGATTTCCATGCTGGCTAGATTTACAGCCGAAAAAAATATTCCTTCCTTTGAACACAGAGAGCACTCTAACCAGCTGAGATAGAACCACCTGATTTTACTCACGGAGGAGGGGATGAACGGGAGAGCGGAGAAGGCAGCACAAACTACAAACCCAGTACTGGAAGTTTAAAATGCTCATCCACTGACTGCAGAACAGTGCAAAAAGTACCTTCAAGTTTAATTAAACATACTGCGTGTGTTTGCAAAGTGCCTTAAGAAGTTTGAGTCATATTGGTCCTGACGTAAAATGACAACTTGGATGGATGTGTTCTGAGGTTAGCTACTCTTGAGATAAAGCAAACCACTACAAAAAAATCAATCCCTGCTTGGGGCATGGCATGCACCTGTGTGGACGCCTCGGGCCCAGTGGGTCAGTGACGGCCGACTGCCACCACCTCCCCCGCAGCCGAACAGCGTCCTTGTTCAGAAGGCTCAGCCCCCAGATGCCTAGTAACGCATTTATGGGAACTTTTAAACTTTTATATTCTTATTTTAATGCTCCTCTGCAGTTCATACATTATGTTTATATAACTATGACCTTTAACAATTATATCTCAAAAAAGCAATTTTATTTTTGTCTCCCATGATCCCTTTACATTTATCCACTGGGGCTACTTCCTCACCTGCTCCTGACAATCCCAAAGCCAAGGCAATCTCAAACCCTTTGGACCATGTTTGATTCCTTTAAAGTTCAAGGCTTGGGCTGGGGATTTAGCTCAGTGGTTCCACTACCTGCCTCGAAAGCACAAGGTCCTGAGTTCGATCCCCAGTACAAAAAAAAAAAAAGATATAACCACATCCTGCCTCATTCATCCAAGCAGATGTCTGGTTTAAACATGAAATGTCATCATAAAGTTCGAGGGGACTTTGCTGTAAAATACAGTCTTGGTCCAGTAATTCGTAACTTCCAGTCCTGTGGTAACCAATATCCAATGCTCATTCAAAAATAAGATCCACCAGGCACAGGAGCACACATCTATGATCCTAACATTCAGCAGGGCAACACAGTGAGACCTTGTCTCAAAAAAAATAAAGGGCTGGGGGTGTGGCTCAGTGATACAGTATTTTGTTCATTCTCTCTCTCTCTCTCCCCCAGGAGGTATTTTATTTTGAGACAATGTCCTCCTGCCTCAGCCTCCCAAGGAGCTGAGATTACAGCCAAGTGCCACTGCGCCTGTTGCAGTCTCTCCTTTTTTTTTTTTTTTTGTTATCCTTTCCCACTTCACTAACCTATGCTCCCTTCCTCTCCTGGCCCTGGAGGGACCAGAGCCGGCCCACTCTGGCCTGGTCTGGTATATGGCGGAGTGTGCGTGTCAGACCCTGTGCCAGGTCCTGCTCTGGACCCACTCTGGGTGCTTAGCTGCTCCCTGTACCCTTCCACTTACCCAGCAACAAAGGCCAGCTCGCTCCTCACTCTTCATGATTTTCAGATAGGACTAAGACCCCAGCCCACTGTGTGCTGTCAGCTGCAGAGGTCCTTTTCATTAGTGGCAGCGCCGCCCTAGACATGAGGTGAAAGAGGGCTGCTGGTGGAGTCGTAACTCTCTCCAAAGTCCTCTCCCTGCACTTTCTCCCCTCACCCTTCTTATCTGTGACAGAGGTGAAAGGATGACATCATCTCCCCTGTCCCTAAGAACCAGGATGGTATATCTCAAAACTCACATATTTGCTGATACCTACCCCACCCCGATCTAGTTATGATTGGATCCTTGGTACCTAATAATTAATGGTACACACATTTTTCCAGTGCTAGGGATCAAACCCAGGGCCTTGTATACATTAGGCAAGCATTCTGCACTGAGCTACATCTGAAGCCCAGAATAGTATATTTTAAATAGTTTATTGAAGCTGCATACTGTGGCACATGCCTGTAATCCTAGCACTTGGGAGGCTGAGGCAGGAGAATCACTTCAAGTTGGAGATCAGCCTGAGCTACATGAGACCCTGTCTCAAAAGACCAAAATAAATAAATGGATAGCTAGTTCACTGAGTATTCGGTTTTCATCACCTTCCACTTTGAAGTATTTGTTAAGATAATAAACATATGACCAAGTTATAAATACGTTTATGCTAAGACAAAATGTACATATTTTCATTGTACTGCTTCTGTCCTTCCTTAGGCTAAATCAAATGAGGCACTTATAAATTCTATACAATCAGACCCCCACTCAAAATCAAGTTCTTAAAATTAGTTGTTTGGAATACAGAGAAAATGTGGTATTTGTGTTCCCAGGTAGACACTATATATGCATCGCCCATTGTATTCCTGAAGTATAGGTGTAATCAGAACTTACCACTATGTATGATAATTTTCTTTCATTTTTTTTTTTTTTTGGTACTGGGGATTGAACTCTGGACCTTGCGCTTGCGAGGCAGGCACTGGAACCACTGAGCTAAATCCCTGGCCTATGATAATTTTCTTTGAAAAAAATAGTTCCCAGTTTCCATATAGAAGTTCAAGAATTCATCTCCCCCTGTAATAACTCTTTCAGGGTAATTAGCCAGGAACTCACCAGCCCTTGCCAGTCGTATGTAGAAGTCACAGAGCAGGTTCTTCACCTTGGAACAAGGACTCCATTGGTACAGGGACTCAAGGTGGTATGGAAAGGATTGGGAATTCGAGGATGTACATGAAACAAGATGAGAAGCCTGTGAAGGTTAAGACTTCTTGCCTTTTGAAAACCCAAGAAATATTTCTCTATTTGGGGCTTCTTCCTTGGTTACCCCCACATTTTATCCTCTAGGCCTCAGGACATCATCTTCCTGCTTCTCTGTGTCCTCTGATTTCTTCTTTTCTACCTCATAATTTGGATCCATATGGGTAATACCCTGATCAGCACCTAGCAAAGCTTTTGTAACATTTTCCAGGAATTATTGCAAAGAGACAATCTGAGAGTAAGAGTCTTATGTCCCACTCCTGTATCTGCTTTTCTTTCCAGTCCCTGAAAAACAAGGGCTGTTCATAGAGAACAGGATTGGATACATGAAGCACTCAGATAAGATTAATCTAGAGTCCAGAATAAATAAACTAGATTCAACATTGGTGGCTTGGAACATTTCTTTAAGGAGCAGACCCAGGAGCCTCTCTAGAGAGAGGAGCAAACAGAGGAAACAGGATAGCGATGGGCTGTAGAAAGAACAGGGTTCATTCTGGGGAGACATCTGCAGCCACAGTGCCAAAGAGGAGACAGGCTGAGAGACAAAGCCTGGGAGGTTCCTTCAATCCCTGTGCCCATGTGCCTGGCCAGCTCTGCTCGAGTCCTGGGAATGACCTGAGAAGTGGTGGTGGGGTATGGGAGGTGGAAGATGTTTAACATAAAGTCAAGAGAGAGGGAAATCTTTGGTGAGGGAAAAATAAACTCCAGAAATCACCCATCCTCCCTATTTCCACTAACCATTCACAAGTGGTAGACAGATGTAAGTTGACATGATTTCTACTTGTTTTAATCTTATTTCTAAAATATTAAATGCATGGACTCTTTAGTGAAGCACTGAACCAGGTTTTAGGAAGTGAGAACTTTCTTTCCGATTTAACCATAGCAAATATCCCTGCTGAACCAACAGGGTGACCACTACCCACACACTTTCCCCACCACCATACTCTCCAAGATCTAGGCTCGGTCAGCACATCTGGTACTCTTCTCCAAAAGCACAGGCATCCCACCCTGGCCTCTTCTCTAGCAGTGATCATAAAGCTTCAGAGAAATGGAGAATGATTATCACCACAAAAAGTTTGGAGTTTCCTGAACTCTGGTATCTGTGTGTGTAGTAAGAAATATGAAATTATTCTTTTTGAATATAATTTAAAAATAATAAAGCTGTAGTTTACCACCTACTTCATGTGATAAAGGAATAAAATCATTTATTGGCTCTACTTCTAAACCTCAATTTGTTAAAAGAAAAAATACCAATTTAGATGCATGGATGCAATATATTCCAGGTATGATTTTTAAACAAGCAAAACTAAAAAATATTTCAAATTTGTGAGACCATTTAATGAGTTTATGGAAAATATCATCACTCTAAGATATCATATTGAATTATATGAAACTGCTAATATTCTGTTGTTGTTGACCTACAAAAACAACAATTTCATATAGTTCCACCTAATGAGTGAATACTTCAAGCTATAATTGTTAACTTTTTCCAAAACAATCCTGTAATGAGAAGGTAATTTTTATATTTTTAAACTAAATGAAGTTTCAGAATGCAGTGGCATTAGTAGAGGTGAACAGTCTCTTACTTTAACTGGTTTGAATGATCTGGTTAAAAGTTAATACATTTTACTGATAGATTTTTCCACCCTGTCAGAGCTATGGTCTTCCTTTGTCTACCCGGTCTGAGATGTGTCCAAGAGGAGGCAGATTTGAAATTGATTCCAAGCAACTGAAACCAAGAAACATTTGCCTAACCCCCAATTCAACTCAAATCCAGGTGATTATATGTATCAGACAATAACTAGAGGACATGAGAAATACGATTTTACAGTTTGAGAGCATAGATTCCTAAACTCTGCCAAAGACTAGAGGTAGGCACAAGTCAGCTACGAGCTTCCAAATTCCATGTCAGAAGCCTCCCAGGGCCCTGTCCGTGAAGCCCACCTAAATGATCACATTATAGATATCTAGAGTCACAAGTGTCACCACAGGTCTCACCCTCCCCTCAAACACATTGTTCCAGACTCCTCAAAGATGTGACATAGTAGGAACGAGTGAAGGCCTCTGTGGATGTCCATGTATTCATTCACTCATTCCTCACATCCTTCCTGAGCAGCTGCCATGGGGCCGGTGCTGTCCCAGGGAAGCCAGACAACAAAGACCTATTCTCCTGGGAAGCTCACATTCTGACAGAGCCCATCAACCAATCCATACATAAGAAAAACTCTAGATAGTGACCAGTGGTGTGGTGAACTAGGAAGGGGAGCTACTGATGAAGGGGATGAGGAGGCTGCTCTGGGAGTTGACATTCAAGCTTGACAGTTAGGATAGAGAGGGCATGAGAGGAATCCAGGATAAGTCTCAGATTTAGGGTTTAACTTAGTGCACTCAAAGTATGTCCCAAGAACCAATGCCAAACTGCAAGCTGTCACCTTGAGACAAGTATAGAACAGGACAGTAACCATTAGGAATTTTTAAAGCACTTTGATAGGGAAATAGTAGGCTTATAAATATAATTTTGCATGGCTTTTAAATTTCATTTTGGTAGTAATTAATTTTTATTTTATTTAACAAAAGCACAAATCAGAAATGTTTTGAAACCTGGTTTTTACCATAGTACGGGAAACACTGGTTTAACCACTTAACCAAGTGAATGAATAGTGGTACCATTTCCTGAGATGAGGTAGGTCAGGCAAGGATGCTCTGTTTGGACCATGCTGAGTCCGAGGTGCCTACTGGGCCCCATGTGGAGTACATGGTTGTGTGTGACTCTGCAGCTGGGGGAGACCAGGTTTGGAGAGCCGAGGATGGGAGTTCTCAGCATATGGGAGGTTGTCTGAAGCTGTGAGACTGAATGAGACCCCCAAGCAGAGCCCTGGGGGCCAGCAGAGGAGACTGATAAGATGCTGCTAGTGAAAGAGCAGGAAACCAATACAGTGTGTCACAGGGACCAACAGAAGAAAATGTTTCAGAAAGGAAAAGTAGTCATCTCTGACTAATGCTTCTCAGAGGTCAAGTAAGAACACGTAAGTGATGATTTGATTTGGTAAATTTGGACACCTTGCCAGTAGCAATTTCAGGGGAACAGTGAGAACACAAGCTTAATTGGGGTGGCTAGGAAGAGAATAGATGGTGAGAAAATGGTCCTGCAACAATAGTTATTTCAAATGGTTCTGTTGTGAAGAGAACAGAAAAAAATGTAATACAGGAAGACGTGGGGTTAAGAGATTATTTGCCATACTGGTGATACATGCCTGTAATCCCTGCACTCAAGAGACTAAGACAGGACTACTTCAAGTTCAAGGCCAGCTGAGGCTACGCAGTGAGTTCAAGGCCAACCCAAATTATAGAGCGAGACTCTGTCTCAAAAAAACCAAAAACAGGCCCAGGGATTTAGCTCAGTGGTTCCACTGCCTGCCTCAAAAGCATAAGGACCCAAGTTTGATCCCCGGTACCAAAAAAACCCAAAAAAACCCTATAGTAGCCAAGTGTGGTGGTGCATGCCTGTAACCCCAGCACTTGGGAGGCTGAGGAAGGAGGATTGCCCCAAATTCAAGGCCGTAATGAATAAGTACATAATGAGCTCAAAATCAGCCTAAACTACATAATGAGACCTTGTTTCAAAAAACAAAATAAAACAACAACAACAAAATCTTATTAGCAGCTCTGCATTTTTAAATGACCATTAACAGTTGTTATAGAAATTAGATTCCAGGGCCGGGGATTTAGCTCAGTGGGTCCGCTACCTGCCTCGCAAGCGCAAGGACCCAAGTTTGATTCCGGTACCAAAAAAAACCCATAGAAATTAGATTCCATCTTCATTCTGTTCCCCACAGAACTCTACCAGGACTCCCTACTCAAGGTGAGGAATCAAGATTAACTAGGTAGTGTGAAATTATCGTAGAAACACTGGAATTCGTTTAGTACTTTGTGGCAAGGAATTGGAAATGGAATATACCTGGTTTATTGATATTTCATGGTATGAATCTAACATCTGAATCTTCAAAAGTTGCATCCTCATTTATACTGATGGACATACTCTTTCTTACCATAGAAACAGAAATTCAAATATATTTGTCATTTTGACAGGAATACAAAATTTCAAGCTTCGAACAGAGGCTGATGAACGAGATAGAGTTTCGCTTGGAACGTACGCCTGTTGATGAATCGGATGATGAAATCCAACATGATGAGATTCCCTCGGGCAAGTGTATTGCTCCCATCTTTGACAAAAGACTCAAACACTTCCGGGTTACAGAAGGCTCACCAGTCACTTTCACCTGCAAAATTGTTGGGATACCTGTTCCAAAGGTAGGGGTAGATGGTCAGCCAGTTGACCAACCAACAAAGTGCACACAGACCAGTGCCTTTAAGAAAAATCTTATCAGAAGTGTCCATAGAGGGAATGAGTGAAAACCAATACCAGAAATTAACAAAACACAGAAGATTTGACTAAAAAGAGACATCAGAAATGGGATCATTAAATAGGCCAAAAATAAATTACATTTACGTTAGAATTTTCATAAAAGTTTAAAATAAATTTCATCATGACATTACATCCTGGACTATCAATTCTCTTAACCATCAAACTAATCAAATTGATATTTTTCATTATATTTAATACCTATTGGATATCCACAGGGTGCCTGTTGTTGTACAAAGTAAGCTATATTTGTATCATTACCATTAGACTGGTAAATGCCAAAAATGTTGTATCATTATCACTGGCTCCTGAAAAATCTTATGAGTCACCAGATTTTTTGGCAGTCTGCTGAGAGAAGGATTTACACCTAGTGTGGCAATAGCCGGGGATCTCTCCACTCTGCTTTCACAAACACTAGCGTGGCGTTGTCATGTATGGTGAGACACCAGGAAAAATAAACTGCACCAGCACATTATCTCCCTGTCTTTCAGAAATCTCCTTGACACATGCAGAATTTACTATGAATATATATATATATATTTAAATTTGGATTAGAAAAAAATTTTAACAAATTAATCCTAGCCTTGTTCTACTTGGTTTAATAAAACATAGTATCATTTCACGCAAGGTGAGCTATTTCAGGTACTGAGATTTGCGACTGCAAAAGACTTGAGCTTTGCCAGGGATTTATCTCAGTGGTTCTGGTGCCTGCCTCGCAAGCGCAAGGTCCTGAGTTCAATCCCCGGTACCAAAAAAAAAAAAAAAAAAAAGACTTGAGCTTATTAGGAGGGTAATATAGGAAAAGATCCAGGGTCTTGGTTTTCAGTTTTGCATCTGAAGTCACAGCTGGTTCTTTGGGTATCTTTTAAATGAATTATAAGGCACAATAAAAATAGTCAAAAGCTTTATCTTAATCCTAATTATATTGAATTTTTACTTAAGTATTGTATAGGTACAAAGGAGGGGCATATTATGCCATCGTTTGGAGGTGCTTTATAACTGTTTCCCAAGCATTTTGAATGGATGAGTGGCCTGGTGGAGAGATGGTATCTGCCCTTCCTTCACCCACCATCTAGTTCTTTCCCCTCTAAAGATGGACAGAACAGGGTATATTCTCCTGAATTCTTTCACTTCAGGTTTACTGGTTCAAAGATGGGAAGCAGATTTCTAAGAGAAATGAGCATTGCAAAATGAGGCGAGAAGGAGATGGGACGTGTTCTCTGCACATTGACTGCACCACCAGCGACGACGATGGCAACTACACCATCATGGCCGCCAACCCCCAGGTGCAGCGCAGGCCTCTGAGGAAGGAGCTCTTGATGTTACTGTGAATGCGACCTTGAGAAGTGCGAATGACTGAGGACAATGAATGGGAAGCACTATGATTGTGTGGAACTAGAGCACAGTGTCACAATTTAAAAGACCAGCAAGTGGCTGATCAGTCGGTCATTCAACCCTTCAGCCTTTGTCAATGACACGGGCATGCTCTTTTCACTGCGCATGTGCCCAGATTGGCAGGCTAAATCTTGCATTTTTCATCGTCAGATTTATTTATTTTTAAATCTTTATCAAGTAAAGTATCATAAACACAGATTAACAGCCTGATAAATGTCATATTTATCAACTCATTGACTCTCTTGAAGAATGACCAAGTCATTTTTGTTATTTAAATAATAAATTACTGGGCCGGGGATTTAGCTCAGTGGTTCTGCCGCCTGCCTCGCAAGCACAAGGTCCTGAGTTTGATCCCCGGTACCAAAAACAAAAAACCCTGTGTTTAAGGGCCAGGGATTTAGCTCAGTGGTTCTGCCACCTGCCTTGCAAGCGCAAGGATCCGAGTTCGATCCCCGGTACCAAAAAAAAAAAAAAAAAAAATACACGCTACAGAATAAATTACTTCAAAAAGGGTTTAAATGTCCCTCAAACTTGAAGTATCCTTTTATCTTTTTCTTATTTTCTTTTTTAAAATAACAATTGTAAACTCATAATCTTCCATTTTCCTTTTCTGAAAAAGGCCAAGCCTCAAAATTCCCCTAACATATATGGCAAAATAAGTATCTTCAGTTAGTATTGGAATGGAAAATTCAGAACTGTAATTTCTACTCTCAGCCACTTTTCCTATGGCAATGTCAGTTTTGATGAGTCTCTTGAGGAAAATATTAAAATATTTGGCCATGCTCACTGCGTTGTGGCTACAAATAACATTAACGTCATAAGAATTCAATTTGTTTTGTTTTGTTGAGACAGAGTTGCTTTGTAGTCCAGGCTGGCTTCAAACTTGCTCATAATCCTCCTGTGTCAGCTTCCCAAGTGCTGGGATTAGACATGCACCACCACACCTGGCCCGTGTGTGTGTGTGTGTGTGTGTGTGTTCCATTACTCACATTAAAAATGAAAATCATCACACTATTCTTAAAAATCTATCCCTCTGAGCTGAGCATGATGTCACACACCTGTAATTCCAGCACTCTGGGAGGCTGAGGCAGGAGGATGGCAAGTTTGAGCCCAGCCTGGGCAACCTAGCAAGAACCTGTCTCAAAATAAAAATATAAAAGGGGTGAGGATTTAGCTCAGTGCAAAGGCCCTGGATTCAGTCCCCAGTACCACAAAAAAAAAAAAAAAAAAAATTTCCCCCTGGAATATTTGCAGTGATTTAAGAAGTCATACTATTATTACATTGTTTTCATTTCTCTCCTCTAAAGAAAAATTCATACAAGGAAAATTTTCTAATCCTTTGGTGCAGAAAAAAAAGTTTACATAAATTAAAAAATGTTGATTTTTTCTTGTTTTAATTTTGCTTGTTTTCTGTTTCTCAGGGGAGAATCAGCTGTTCTGGCCACTTGATGGTACAGGGTTTGCCCATTCGTAGTCGACTAACCTCTGCTGGTCAGACTCACAGGTAAAGACAGTGAGAATCCCCCCACTTACAGTCCTTCTGCCTCAGTCTCCCTCAGTGCTGAAATTGCAGGTTGTCCTACCTCAAAATTTAAAGGGGGGTGGTTCCCTGGGGTTCAATTTCCCAGTAACCCCCCAAGAAGACTCTCCCATTTCTGGTACCCTTCCACATTCCTGCCCACCACAATGAGTACAGAAGTCGTTGGGTCTACAAATTGTTGTTGTTGGTGGTGGTGGTGGTGGTGTGTGTGTGTGTGTGGGTGTGTGGGTGTGTTACTGGGGATTGACCCCAGAGCCTTTGCACTAAGTTACATTTTTAAAATTTTGATACAGAATCTCACTGAATCACTAAATTATCCATGCTGGGCTTGTCATCCTCTTGCCTCGGCCTCCCAGAGTGCTGGGATTACAAGTGTGTGCCCCACTCCTAGTTTATAAATTGTCACTTAAAGGTAGAACCCCACCTGCCACACCAACATTATAAGAGCTTGTTGGAAATGAAGAATCCCAAGCCCCACACCAGATCTACTAAATCAGAATCTGCATTTTAACAAAATTCCCAGGTGTTTCACAAGCACAATAAACTCTAAGAAATACTAGTCTATGGCACAATGGCTTAAAATTTGTAACCATTAGTATCTCTGTGTACATAATATATAAACCAGGCCCTTTGGGTTAAATTAGTGTTTTGTCTACAACAAAACAGAGACATTGGGCTGGGGATACAGCTCAGTGGTAGAGCACTTGCCTAGCATATTTAATCCCCAGTATCACAAAAACCAACCAACCAACCTACCTTTAATGGCTATATGTATATAGATCAAGTATTTTGTTGTGCTTGGCACTCTTCCTCTCTGATTTTCCTAACCACTAAGAAGACAGCACCTGGCTTTCCCCTGAGTCTTACGGTGCCACAAAGTCTTAGCAAAGCATTCCATAGTTGCTGACATGGATGAATTAAATGTGACTTACCAAAGGCACAAAAATAGTGACCCATGTTTCAGATAACAGTATTTCACCACTGTTGCAACTATACCTCCTTCTTTTTCTTTTTTCAAGACCAGCTGTTCCTCTTGATAGGTCTTGCCAAGTTTAAGTTCATGGTCATCCTGCCATAATTTATAGCCAGGTTAAATTTTATTACTCAAAGACACAGAGATTGCAGCTGCCTTGTTCTGGATAATAAACTGGACTCCTCTTTTGGCACTCATTTGAGGTTCAGATTGAATACTGATTTATTTGTTTATCCTGATGCCTTTTGAACAACTGGTCAATCCCATAGCAGCAGAAGCCAAGCCACTTAACCCAACATGACTTCAGAGAGAAAAGCTAAAGTTTGTTTATTTTATTACAGATCTCACAAGATAATCTTGCACTATATGAGATGCTTACCACATTGGGTGGTTTTTTTTACATTAGTTCCACATCATTATTAATTATTTATTATTATTGTTTGTTTTGGGGATAGCAAGCCCTTTCCCCTAAAATAAATCTGTTGTCCCTGTAGTCCTACAGCCATGCCTACATGCCTATTGCTGTAAGTTTGTAAATTCGAGTCTTTGATTGATACCTGAATATGCTTGCTACAGGGGAAGGTCCAGACTGCAAGACAGAGACAAAGAGCCCCTTCAGGAACGCTTTTTCCGACCACATTTCCTGCAGGCTCCTGGGGACATGGTAGCTCACGAGGGGCGCCTCTGTCGCCTGGACTGCAAGGTAGACTCTGACTACCTGTCGAGATCTGTCAGATTTTGTTTTTGATTGTTTGTTTGTTTGTTTGGATGCATTTTTATTTATATTTTTGTGGGTTTATTTATTTATTGGAGTTTTGTTTTTGTTTACAGACAAAAGGGTCCAGGAAAGGGGAGAGAGATTGTAGTGTTCAATACCAGCCAAAATTATTTCATGAAGTTTAAAATAATTTTATCTTAATAAAATCTACATTGCTATTATATCCATTTAACTCTATATTTTTAGATGACAACCAAAGAGATGATATAATTTGCACATGTTCCATATGGTGCCTGGAAATCCTTTATGACTATGAAGCCCAAAGTGTGATTTTTGCATCCTTCAAGTGATTGTTGTGAGCTAAAGCCTCTGAATAAATTATCGTCATGAAGAGATGGTAGTCTATGAGAGCAGAAGAGGTTTCTCTTACTAATCAACTTCTGTCACCTTTAGTAATTTCTACATTGTAATTTTTCAACCAGAAACTAGGCTGTTGTTGAGCAGGGTAGAGATATTTTAGCAGGTCACCTTTTCTGCTGCAGACAAAGGTGCAGAATGCTATAGAAAATTTAGATGCAAATCAGTGAAGACTTGAGATTAAACATTCATGAAAAGTCTGCTTCTGTAAGGGTTCCTGTTCTCCTTTGGCTGCCTACATAATATTCAGGTTGACTGTTCATTCCACCTCTAAACTCTCAAAAATAGCAATGCCCGGATCCCATCTCCAGAGACTCTGATTTCCTATTTTAAGTGAGCATCAGTATTTTTAAACAGTCCTCCATGTAATTATAATATGCAGCATAATTTGAGAACCTTGGTATAATATCTGACCTTTCTCTTTTCTAACTCTCCCTTGTTAGGTATGTAAGGAATATATCATCTCTGACATTGATGCTGCAGGCCCATTTCATCTACCTAGCTTAATTCTTATTTATTCTAACCTACAGTGTAATCAAATAGATTGATCATGACTCGAATTGGGGTTAGAATACCCACAGTTTAAATTCATGCTGCCGTTTCTTCAGACCCCTCTTCTCCTCAGGCTGCTGGGGGACGTTCTCAACACTCCACATTTTCTTCCACTATGTATTTGGTGCCAAACATGGGTGAAGAATTCAGCCACTGAATAAATCTTCCTGTCATCAGTCTGTCATTTGCCTCAGCTGTCCTGTTGTTTATTAGGTGAGTGGCTTGCCGCCCCCAGAGCTGACGTGGCTGCTAAATGGCCAACCTGTGCTACCAGACGCCTCCCACAAGATGCTGGTCAGGGAGACAGGGGTGCACTCGCTGCTCATTGACCCCCTCACCCAGCGTGACGCGGGCACCTACACGTGCGTGGCTACCAACAAAACTGGGCAGAATTCCTTTAGTCTGGAGCTCACTGTTGTCGGTAAGGCTTGCTCCTGGGATCCCTAGATGCAACTCCCCTTGTTATTGTGCAAATTCCTTAGTCCTTTGCCCCACAAATCTCAGTCTTCCCTTCATTGTATTAAGTACTGCATGCCCTACCTTGGTTTCAAAGACATTTAGCAATCTGAGAATTTAACATGGGACCGTGCACATTTAACACATGCAATAAATTGGGCCATGGCAATTGTACATTACCAGTCACTTAATCAGTTCATTGACTCTCTAAATTCCAGTTGTTTGCTTACAGTCCATTGTTCCTGGAATGTCCTGGGCTCTTTGATCCCCCTAAGTCGCATCAGTTTCCCCTCTTCCCAGCAACCTCCCACCTCATTGGGAAGCATAATTGCTTGTTTTTTAAAAATAATAATACAATTCTGTAGGTGTGAGCCTTTTTTCAAAATAAAAAGTTTGGGGGAAATTAATAAAACTTCCACAGAATAAACTCCTCCATAAAAGAAAAAAGGATCAATTTAAGTACATGGAGTATCGACCAGGTGTGGTGGTCCACACCTATAATCCAAGTACTCAGGAGGCTGAGGCAGGAGGACGTTTGAGAGATCAAGGCCAGCCTGGGTATATAGTGAGTCCAAGGTCAGCCTGAACTACAAAGTGAGACCTTGTTAAAAAAAAAAGTACATAGAATATATTGATTCTCCAGAGTTACTGCTGAGCAATAAAAGAAACTCCTTTAATCCCACCATTCCTAGCACATGTATCGCACATGTGTGACCTGAGGGTCATTTTGCTCGGGATATGTAGAGATAGATGGTGACCCCTTGCTTTTTTAACCTTTTATGGAGCTTTCTCAAGGCTGTGGCTCACTAAGAGGCCACAGGTGAGGTAGGTGTATGCCCACTCTGCTAAATTCCACACTGTCGTGAGTGTGAGGTGTGAACCGTGAGGTGCTCACTGTTCAAACAAGAAGGTCCTTCTCTTGTTCAGCCAAAGAGGTGAAGAAAGCTCCTGTGATCCTGGAGAAACTGCAGAACAGTGGCGTCCCCGAGGGCCACCCTGTGAGGCTGGAGTGCCGCGTGATTGGCATGCCCCCGCCCGTGTTCTACTGGAAGAAGGACAACGAGACCATCCCCTTCACCAGAGAGAGGGTCAGGTAAGGCAGCCGCCACCTCCACCCCGACTCCAGGCCAGCTGCCCAGAGAACGAACACTGCAGCCCCTGCAGCCCACACTGCAGCCCCTGCAGCCCGTGGCCTGGCTACTTTCACTTAGCATAATGCTCTTGAGTTTCATCTGTTATTGTGCAAATCAAGAATTTATTCCCATTTGTTGTGGGGTGATAGTCCATTGTATGGCTGTCTCAGAGTTTTAAAACTTTTGATTTTTTTTTTTCTGTACTGGGGATTGAACTCAGGACCTTTTGCTTTCAAGGCAGGCGGTGGAACCACTGAGCTAAATCCCCCGCCCCTAAAACTTTTAATTCTGTAGTTGTTGTTGTTGTTATTTTGAGACAAGGTCTCACTATGTAGTTCAGGCTGTTCTTGAACACACTGTGTAGCCCAGAGTTATAGAGATCTTCCTGCCTCAGCCTTCCAAGTGCTGGGATTATAGGTGTGGGCCACCATTCCAGCTAAAAAAATTTAATTTTTAAATTTAAAAAAAATAAGAATTTATGAAGAACTTGCATATTTTTGTCATGTGTCTTCAGTCATATTAGTACTCAGAAAACCTCTTTGAAGAAAAAAAAACTGTAGTAGCTTTCCCTCACTATACCAAATACCTGTGGTGATCAGCTTAGAAAGAGAAAAGGTTTATTTGGGCTCATGATCTCAGTGGTTCCAGTCCACGCTCAGGAGGATCCATTGCTCTTAGGTCTCTGGTGGAGGTGCCGGATTGCAGAGCCTATGGCAGACAGAACTGCTCACCTCATCCCCAGGAAGCAGAGGAGGAAGAGGAAGGGGCTCAGGCCCCTGTCCCTTTTACGGTCACCTCCTCCCATTGACTTAAAGACCTCCCGTGAAGCCCCACCTCTTTTCGTGTTTTGTTTGTTCAGTTTCTTGAGACGTGTAGTTCAGGCTAGGCTTGAACTCACAGTGGTCCTCCTGCCTCAGCCTGCTGAATCCTGGGATCACAGGTGTGAACCACCATGCTTGGCTCAAGTCTCTACTTCTTAAAGGTTCTACCAGATCCCAGTAGCATTGCCCTGGGAACCAAGTCTTCAGCACATGGAGCTTTGGCGAACACTTAAGGTCCAAACTACACCAAAAGCTGAAGTCGAATCCAACATAAAGGCAGTGGTACTGCTTTCCCCTCCATCACTGAGTGGTGGTTTGGTTTGGTTTTCATCAGTCCATGTTTGCAGTACATAATTATCACAGTCCTTGTGGGGAGTTAGTGCATGTACATAACACATCTCAATTATTTTTTCATCCCCTTCCCTCCTACCCACCCCTACCTCTCTCTTGGTCTCTTTCCCATTTGCAAAAAGATCTCCCTGTTTCCTACTATCTTTTATTTTGCTCTTCAATTTATTCATACTTTGAGTTTTTCATATAAGAGAAACCATGAGATATTTAAGCTTGGGCGTCTGATTTACTTTACCATCATGGTCTCAAGTTGGTTGTTTTTGTTTGTTTTTGTTTTGATTTTTGTTTTTCGAGACAGAGTCTCACTGTGTAGTTCAGACTGGCATTGAACTTACTGGGTAGCCTAGCCGGCCTCAAACTCATGGTGATCCTTCTGCTTCATCCTCCTGAATGCTGGGATTGCAGGTGTGCACCACCATGCCTGCCTGGCTGTTTTTAAGTAAGTTTAAGGATCCAGTTTCCCAAAGCGGTTGGCTTGATTCTCCCTACCAACCTCGTTTCTTTGCAATTTTAGTTTTACACCACCAGAGGGACAGCAAGCGAAGGTAGCTGTGTCCAAACTTTCTACTGAAAATTATTTCTCCACAGTAAACTGATTTTGTCTAGAACTTTGGCATAGTCTTTGCTCCTTGGCTGCATAAGAATCACCTGGGGAATTTTTAAAGATCATATTGCTCAGGTCCCATCCTGAGATTCTGATGTCATTGCCTGGAGTGTGGCCTGGGGCTGCAGTGAGCCACCAAGACTGAGGACTGATGCAGAGGAGCAGAAGAAAATCACAGGCCGATTTCCTCCCTAAGGCACTAAGCTAAATGCTGCACCTGCCACTGGGTGGCTAGGAAATGCCATCTCTGTGCTATTGATGCATTTACCCCGGGGCGCTCTTTTCGGTCTGCTTTCCCATTGTTTCCTGAGGCAGTTCTTGAAACTCTCAACCATGTTTGGAAAAAGGCATTTCCTGGACTGTGGCTGTGAAAAACAGGGGTCCCTCTGGTGGGGAGTGAACTTCAGCAGAGCTGGGGCAGTAGAGAGGACAGTGGAAAGCGTGAACAGGTCTGTCACAGCTGTTGGGCTCCTCTTAGTGTTCATTAATGCTTTTTTGTGGCTTTGTTTGGGGGGGTACTGGGGATTGAATCCAGGGCCTTCTCACTGAGCTACATCCCCAGCCCTTTCTTTTATCTTTTGAGACCAAGTTTCACTAAGTGGCTAAGTTGCCCAGGCTGGGCTCAAACTTACGATCCTCCTGCCTCAGCCTCTCAGAGTGCTGGGATTGCAGGCATGTGTCACTGGGCCTGGCTTGTGCCTTCTTTTTACTTTTGAATTTCCCTTTAGCTGAGTTCCCATTTCTTACCTTTTGGGAGGAAGAGCTGTAAGAGTTTCCTTAAACCCTGAACTTGACAGAGATGTTTCTGCTTCCAGAAAAAATATGAATATATTCTTTCTTTTCTCCAGTATGCACCAGGACACAACAGGGTATGTCTGTCTCCTCATTCAGCCAGCCAAGAAATCAGATGCCGGATGGTACACACTGTCAGCCAAGAACGAGGCTGGCATCGTGTCGTGCACTGCTAGGCTGGATATATATGGTAAGTGTAACGTTGTTAGTTAAACATCTGTGTGATGGGCAACTTTAAAATAATTTTAAAACTGGGTGTGGTGATGCACGCCTGTAATCCCATGACTCAGGAGGCTAAGGTAGGAGGTTTACTGCCAGTTCCAGGCCAGCGTGGGCTGCATATTGAGACCCTGTTTCAAAAAATAATAATAAATAAATTTAAGGGTAAGTGTAATAAGTTTCCATAAATGAATTGAATGTATTATATTTTAGTGCTTCAGAGATTTTCAAAGTCATCTCATCCCAGTCACCTCAGGGCTTTTGTACATTTCTATGTTTTGCTGTGACCTTAACCTTCTTCCAACAGAGAACCTCGAATGCTAGGAAGCCGCCAGGCCAGCGAGCCCACAGCTCACACGGGTTTGCATGCCTGACCTGAGGCAGGAGAATCAGCACAAGTTTGAGGCCAGCCTGGGCCACGTAGTGAGTTCAAGGCCAGCCTGAACTACATAATGAGACCATATCTCAAAAAAACAAAACAAAACAAAACAAAAGAACAATGGCTAGAAGGCAAATTCAACTCCAGATCATTCCTTTGAGCCTTGTTCCTAATTTTCAAAAGAAGTTAAGTAATCTTATGAAGAGTAGGTATATATGCCCTTGTTCCCCACTTTAGGGAGAAAGCATTGTATCGTCTCCATTCATAGAAGGAGTTTTTGTTGAAAGTATGGAGTACATGTCTTTGATCTGTTGAGAAGGTTCTGTTCTACTTCTAGTCTCCTGATAGCTTTTACCATGAACAGCTGTAGAATT